ATCTTCATAAGAGAAGCTAAAAGCTGTGGTAGACGTTCTGCTAAAAATCTGTCTAGTCATCCCTGGAGTGCAGTTTTGTTTCAGTTATCACTGACTTGGTGACTCACAGCATGAATGAATGTCTTCTGTTGACTCACAGTTCTACAACAGAGCCGCTGCCCGGAAATAACACGTGACACGTTTTTCTCTTCCAGATTATTCTGTGACAGTTGGCAATGGGAAGTTCACCTGGGCCAAGGAAGACGCTCCTGTTCTGCACAAGTAGGTCATCAAGAGTCACAGCTGAGGGAGGAGCGTGCAGTAGGTGTTAGATGAAGGAAGGCATATGATCCAAAAATAGATTTGATTGGCACAATGAAAAGTTAGCCAAAAAAAAGCAAATAGTGAGGCAACTCTCAGCAAAATGCTTTTTGATGTCACTGAAAAAGGAAACCAGGAAACAGCAAGTAAAATATCTAAAATTATTAATCATTAACAGTTACAATATAGAAAAGATTGGATCATTAAAAAATTACATAAAATTAGTCAGTAAGACGGTTAGAAGAACTGTGGGTAAAGAAAATAAAAAGATTAGAAATAAAATTTGGTCACAATGACAGTTTGAAGCTAATAAGCCTAATAAGTAATTGTAAGTAAGCCTTTGTCTAAGAAGTCAATAAAATAATACTATTAATTATTTACAGTTAGGAACTTGTTAGAAAACGAAAGAATAATAGGTGAATTGTTACATTTGGAAAAATAGCCACAAGTTGTTAAAAAAAACATCAAAAATATATGAAGCCAAATATTACTAAGAAAATCTGCAAAAAAAATGACCTTAGCCAAACATTAGCTTAACGTTAGCCAAAGACGTTAAATGATAAAAAGCTAGTGTCAGTGTATGTGGAAGTAAAACTGTGTAAAAGGGTTCATGTTTGTTGCTAATGAGTTGTTTTAACCCCTGCCCTGTGTGTGTGTGTGTGTGTGTGTGTGTCTGTGTGTGTGTGTGTGTGTACAGTATTAACCTGATGGTGCCCCAGGGCTCCCTGTTGGCTGTGGTGGGCCATGTGGGCAGTGGGAAGTCGTCCCTGATCTCAGCTCTGCTCGGAGAAATGGAGAAGTTGGAGGGAGAGGTTTCTATTCGGGTAAATAACAAACACTTCAGACGTTATTTTATTATTAAACTCTTTCATTTATCCCGTTGAACCTGTGCTTGTTCCCAGGGGTCGGTGGCATACGTACCTCAGCAGGCCTGGATACAGAACGCCACGCTACGGGACAACATCCTGTTTGGAAAAGCCTACAATGAGCAGAAGTACGCCTGTGTTCTGGAAGCCTGCGCTCTGACCCCTGACCTGGAGGTCCTGGCCGGAGGAGACCTGACGGAGATAGGAGAGAAGGTACAGAAACTAAGTCAGTGTTACTGGTTTGGTTTGAACCTCTCACCAGATCTGTGTTTATTAGCTTATGTTTTTGTTTTCATCTTCACCTCTAGAAATATGTCATTTCTTTGAACAGTTTAGTTAATTTGGACAATTGTTAGCTTGTAGTTATTTACTACTTTCCTGTAGCATTCAAGCTACACTAGTATTAATTTACCTTTCTGCTTATTTTAAGTACTTTTGTAGCTAAGTTTTGGCTACCTTCTTGTTAACCTAGTGTATGTTTTTGTAAATTTGAGGTTATTCTTCTGTATTTACCCCCAAGGTAATTGTTAAATCAATAATGTAAAGCTTCTGTATATTCAAACTACTTCCTGTATTTTCTCCAGGTCTCCAGGTTTTATGATGTTATGTGATGAGCTATAAATGCTAATAAACCTAAAGCATTGTACAGTCCGCATTAGACATCCAAACTAGTTAAATTAGTTTTCCTTGTTCATATACAGAAATGTCATCTTTGAAGTCAGTTTAAGCTTCTGTACAAATCTGTCCTTCCTGTTCTGGTCTGAGGTTCGATTCCTTCTCCCCCCAGGGCATCAACCTGTCTGGTGGACAAAGACAAAGAGTAAGTCTGGCACGGGCTCTGTACAGTGACACTGACGTCTACCTGCTGGACGACCCACTGTCTGCTGTGGACACCCATGTGGCCAAACACATCTTTGACAACCTGATCGGGCCAGAGGGGGCGCTGAAGGGAAAGGTGAGAGAGGAGGGAGAGTGGTAAAGCTTTGAGTTTCTTCACGTTCTGAACCCGTTCTTCACGTTTCTGTCTGTTTGTCCACAGACCCGTATCCTGGTGACCCACGGCGTCACCTTTCTGCCCCAGGTGGACAACATCCTGGTGATGGTGGAGGGTCGAGTGTCGGAGATGGGCTCCTACCAGGAGCTGCTCAAACAGAATGGAGCCTTTGCCGAGTTCCTCAGGAACTACGCCCTGGAGGACTTCACAGGAGAAGAGGAGGCGCTGGGTTAGAACCGATGATGATCAAAATGTTCAAACTCTTCTTTTTTTTATTCCGTTTCTGTCTGTTTGTCCACAGACCCGTATCCTGGTGACCCACGGCGTCACCTTTCTGCCCCAGGTGGACAACATCCTGGTGATGGTGGAGGGTCGAGTGTCGGAGATGGGCTCCTACCAGGAGCTGCTCAAACAGAATGGAGCCTTTGCCGAGTTCCTCAGGAACTACGCCCTGGAGGACTTCACAGGAGAAGAGGAGGCGCTGGGTTAGAACCGATGATGATCAAAATGTTCAAACTCTTCTTTTTTTTATTCCAGCTGAGAATGTGGTGATTTTTTTTTTCCAGAGGAGATATTAGAAGATGAGGAGCTGTTTCCTGAAGATGCTCTGAGCAACCACACAGACATAGTGGACAATGAACCAGGGATCAACGAAGCCAAGAGGAATTTCATCAGGTAAAATAAAACCTGAAATTAAAAGTGAAATAAAAAGTGGAAAGAGAGGGAAAACATGGTTTTGTCTCCACTCTGCCCTCTGCAGGCAGATCAGCATCATCTCAGCAGACGGAGAAAATCCCAGGACTCGGTCGGTGAGGAGACACAACTGCAGCCCGAGGAAACACGTAGAGCCACAGGAGAAGAAGAAACCAGCAGAGATGGACAAACTGATCCAGGCAGAGACGACCGAGACGGGCCGGGTCGGTACCCCAACCTTAAGTCTCAACTGCTTTATTTCAAATTCTTACGGAGCTTTTTTGGGTAGACATGACAGTTCCCCTGTCCTCCACTAGGTGAAAATGAAGGTGTATCTGGAGTACGCTAAGGCCGTGGGTCCTCTGCTGTCGGTCTTCATCTTTTTCCTGTACAGCTGTCAAAGCACTGCTTCCATTGGAGCAAACATCTGGCTCAGCCAGTGGACCAACGATGCCTCCACCAATCAGACCGAAGAAAACCTCAAGATGAGGGTGGGGGTCTACGCCGCGTTGGGCATCACACAAGGTGAGACGTCAACCATTGTTGTGTCAGGGTCTGTGTTAAAGGTTTGATGTTTGTGATGATAGTAAAAGAATATATTGATTAACGTCATCATGAGACTTTAAATGAATCTTGAGACATGTGCCTCCTCCTCCTTCTTCTCCTCCTCTCTGTAATCAAACCTCCTCTCCTCAGGTTCACAGCAGAGTCCAGCAATGATTATTATCCTATACAGCAGTGAAGTTTGTTCACAGCATTCAGGAAAGGTTCATCTTCTACCTTTGCTCCTGCTCCTCCCAGGTGTCCTGGTCATGATCTCCTCCTTCACTCTAGCCATGGGGAACATCGGTGCAGCCAGGAAGCTGCACACTAACCTGCTGACCAACAACCTGCACTCGCCCCAGTCCTTCTTTGACACCACGCCCGTGGGACGTCTCATCAACCGCTTCTCCAAGGACATCTACGTGATCGACGAGACGCTGCCGTCCACCGTGTTCATGTTCCTGGGCACCTTCTTCGTCTCTCTGTCCACCATGATCGTTATCGTGTTTAGCACGCCCATCTTTGCTGTAGTCATTGTCCCGCTGACTCTCATTTACATCTTTGTCCAGGTATTTCCAGTAAAGCTGTGGCTGCTGATGATCATCACTCTGCTTCTCCAAACACAGCCACAATATATGAATATATGAACGATGACAGCAGCTCTAACCAAAGAATTTAGGAATAATAATGACAATTTATTATTTAATTTATATTTACCCTAGTGGTTATTAATGGTACTACAGGTTAGCTGATCTTCACCATCATCTGGCTTCTCATCAAAAATCGCAAAGAAAAAACTGTTGTGTTCTCACTCGCTTGTTTTCTAACTTCCTATGAGTGTGTGTGTGTGTACACAACATTCAAACAATGTATTTTTTTCATAACACTATCTGTGTTTTTCGCTGCTCGCCTGTAGAGATTTTATGTTGCTACGTCGCGGCAGCTGAAGCGCCTGGAGTCGGTCAGCCGCTCCCCCATTTACTCCCATTTCTCTGAGACCATCACGGGCTGCAGTGTGATCCGAGCCTACGACAGAACCTCTACCTTTGTTCTGTTGAGTAACATGAAGGTGGATGAGAACCAAAAGAGTTACTACCCTGGTATAGTTTCCAACAGGTAGGTGGCGCTGGCCCCTCTTTTATTGTTTTTATCCTTTTCCGTTCACACTTGGTTTGTATGACATGGTTAAAGCTGGGGTAGGCAATTTTAATAACAGCATGTACAAAATAGCATTATTAAAGCGAAACATTTATAGCAAAGACTTTTAGCTAGTGGCGCTTTGGCCCAGAGGCAATGTCTCTGTCATTGGTGTGGAACCCCAGGGTTCACCTCCTGGGCAAGTTCGAATCCAGGTTAGGGCGGTTGGTACCTTCCAGTGGACTCACCACCAGCAGGAAGGTTTAGGTACGGTGCAATGTGATTTGGGTGGCGACTGCTGCCCCCGCGACCCGGTAACGGATAAGCGGATGAAAATGGATGGATGGATGGATGGATGGACTTTTAGCTAAAACATAGACTGATGATAGCTGTTAGCTGTAATGCTAATTTGGAGTGTGGTTTTTCTGGTGACCTACAGGTGGTTCGGCATTCGCATTGAGTTCATCGGAAACTGCATCGTGTTGTTTGCGGCTCTGTTCGCTGTGACAGGAAAAGAGAACCTCAACCCAGGTCTGGTGGGCCTGTCGGTGTCCTACGCCCTGCAGGTAGGCTACATGCTAACTGTTCCAACATCAGCAGTTGAGCTGCAGCTCAGTCATCAGCCTCAGGTTCTGACGCTGATGTCCATGTTCTTCAGGTGACCATGTCCCTGAACTGGATGGTGAGAATGACATCAGATCTGGAGTCCAACATCGTGGCAGTGGAGCGGGTGAAGGAGTACTCTGAGACCAAGACGGAGGTGGGTGTAGTTGTAGATGTAGCTGATGGATGGAAGGATGGAGGACTAGAAGTCTGACAAAGATTTGAGTTCAGGTTAAAGGTCAAAGTAGACAAAAACGTGAATGTGTTCCTCAGAAAGTTTCTCCCTTCCGCATCTGTGTCCACAGGCTCCCTGGGAGATCGAGGACAAGAAACCTCCTCCTGAATGGCCCTCAGAGGGCGATGTTCAGTTCCAGAACTACAGTGTTCGATACCGAGAAGGACTGGACCTGGTCTTGAAGAACCTGACATTGAGCGTCAAGGGAGGGGAGAAGGTGAGTGGAGTGTGAGATGGGGGAATACAGAGGTGGAGCTTAAACTGAACAAAGCTGTGTCTCTGATGATGCAGATTGGCATTGTGGGTCGCACTGGAGCAGGAAAGTCCTCCATGACCCTCTGTCTCTTCAGGCTGTTGGAGGCTGCAGGAGGAGACATCACCATCGACGGCGTGAAGATATCTGAGATAGGTCTGCACGACCTGAGGTCCAAACTCACCATCATTCCACAGGTACCAACAACACGCAGGTCTTCAGGTTCCTGACAGGTTCCTCTTAGAACCTCACTTCTTCTCTGACTCTTCCACAGGAGCCCGTGCTCTTCTCAGGAACCCTGAGGATGAACCTGGATCCCTTTGAGAAGTGCTCTGATGAGGAGGTCTGGAAGGCTCTGGAACATTCTCACCTCCACAAGTTTGTCAGCAACCAGCCGTCCAAGCTGCAGACGGAGTGTGCAGAGGGTGGAGAGAACCTCAGGTAGGAGATGGGTTAGTTAGCTGTTAGCTGTAATGCTAATTTGGAGTGTGGTTTTTCTGGTGACCTACAGGTGGTTCGGCATTCGCATTGAGTTCATCGGAAACTGCATCGTGTTGTTTGCGGCTCTGTTCGCTGTGACAGGAAAAGAGAACCTCAACCCAGGTCTGGTGGGCCTGTCGGTGTCCTACGCCCTGCAGGTAGGCTACATGCTAACTGTTCCAACATCAGCAGTTGAGCTGCAGCTCAGTCATCAGCCTCAGGTTCTGACGCTGATGTCCATGTTCTTCAGGTGACCATGTCCCTGAACTGGATGGTGAGAATGACATCAGATCTGGAGTCCAACATCGTGGCAGTGGAGCGGGTGAAGGAGTACTCTGAGACCAAGACGGAGGTGGGTGTAGTTGTAGATGTAGCTGATGGATGGAAGGATGGAGGACTAGAAGTCTGACAAAGATTTGAGTTCAGGTTAAAGGTCAAAGTAGACAAAAACGTGAATGTGTTCCTCAGAAAGTTTCTCCCTTCCGCATCTGTGTCCACAGGCTCCCTGGGAGATCGAGGACAAGAAACCTCCTCCTGAATGGCCCTCAGAGGGCGATGTTCAGTTCCAGAACTACAGTGTTCGATACCGAGAAGGACTGGACCTGGTCTTGAAGAACCTGACATTGAGCGTCAAGGGAGGGGAGAAGGTGAGTGGAGTGTGAGATGGGGGAATACAGAGGTGGAGCTTAAACTGAACAAAGCTGTGTCTCTGATGATGCAGATTGGCATTGTGGGTCGCACTGGAGCAGGAAAGTCCTCCATGACCCTCTGTCTCTTCAGGCTGTTGGAGGCTGCAGGAGGAGACATCACCATCGACGGCGTGAAGATATCTGAGATAGGTCTGCACGACCTGAGGTCCAAACTCACCATCATTCCACAGGTACCAACAACACGCAGGTCTTCAGGTTCCTGACAGGTTCCTCTTAGGACCTCACTTCTTCTCTGACTCTTCCACAGGAGCCCGTGCTCTTCTCAGGAACCCTGAGGATGAACCTGGATCCCTTTGAGAAGTGCTCTGATGAGGAGGTCTGGAAGGCTCTGGAACATTCTCACCTCCACAAGTTTGTCAGCAACCAGCCGTCCAAGCTGCAGACGGAGTGTGCAGAGGGTGGAGAGAACCTCAGGTAGGAGATGGGTTAGTAGGGTAAAGGTCACTGACACCCCCCCCTCCCCTCCCCCCTCCCATGATGACGTCTGATGGTCTTCACCGTCCTGTCTCCAGTGTGGGTCAGAGGCAGCTGGTGTGTTTGGCTCGAGCTCTGCTCAGGAAGACCAGGATCTTGGTCCTGGATGAAGCTACGGCCGCCATCGACCTGGAGACAGACGATCTGATCCAGTCCACCATCAGGACCCAGTTTGAGGACTGCACCGTCTTCACCATCGCACACAGGCTCAACACCATCATGGACTACACAAGGTCAGATCTTTGTTTTTTTCGGAGCTGCTGACCACCTCTTGTCTAAAGATCAGTGACAGGTCAGGGGGCTCCACAAAGCCTTAACCCAGTTAACTGTCAATCATGAACACCAGCCAATAGGAACCAGAGTTAAACTCACATGACATGTTGATTTCAAACCGGTAGTACTTGACTCAGGCTGGTGTGTGGTCCTGCAGGGTTCTGGTGTTGGACAAAGGTCAGGTGGCAGAGTTCGACACCCCCACACACCTCATATCTCAGAGAGGAATCTTCTACGCCATGGCTAAAGACGCAGGACTGGTTCAGTAGGTCCGACACCATGGGCCAACACGGTCCAGTCCCTGAGGAGCAGCGGGGTCCACATCAGGCTGGTGTCAAACCACACTTGATCTCCTTTCACAGACCTGGGTCAGGTGGGATTTGTAAGACCAAAACATAATCAGGACTTCTGCTTCCAGCACTGAAAATCCTTCTGTTCTGAGAGGAAAAAAACTGACAGGAAAATATTCCCAACAAGCCATAAGTACAAATCCTAGCTGATCCAGGATCTGCTCTTTAGTGCCTTCCAGCAGCGGACCAGCAGTGAATGTAAATCTGTCCAAACAGTTCTCCGCTGCAAAAATCGCACGAAAACAAGATCGTTGCTGTGCCACTGTTCTGCCCTCATGGTAAAACAAACATCAAATATGCTGTGTTTTTGTGACAGACACACTTATTTTTGTACTGTACCTTTTATTTAAAGCCACTTTTTAAAAATATTTTTCTTTTCTAGGGAAGTTTGTTGACTTTGTGATTGTCTTTGAACCAAATTTGTACAAAGAAAAAACTTGAAATCTGTACCAACAAATATAAATATATGAAAATATGACGATGCTTTTATTAAAAAAACATGGAAAACAGTGGTTGACACTCTTGACTTTTTCATTTTTATCAATTGTCCACCGGAGGGCGCCAGAGCATTTATGTGGAGGCACTAAAAAATGAAAAGGAAAGGTGGCAGCTAATTTAAATTAAACGTAAACTTTAAATTTTAATTATTCGCAAAACTGGACTCTGTGCCACATCATTTCGGAGGAGGTTTTTGTCAAATATACGGTGAATATAAAACTTTTTTTGTCACTCCTAAACGACAAACGAAATATTTTTACCAAACAGTTGTAAATAAACGAGAGGATTCCCTCAAGGGCAAGATTAAATTATTGACATTGACACCATTACCTGTTGTTGTCTTTGTCTGTTGTCTCGGCAGCAACGAACAGTAAATTGACTCAGTCTCAATAATCATAAGAAATTAACAACTCGATTAAAAACATACAAAAACTGACATTTTAAAAGGGGGACATTTATTTCACTAAATCAAACGTTTTGAAAAAACATTTAAACAACAGTTGAAGAATAGTAATAGCGACGTCACATGGAAGGAACTCGGAAATAATTAGAACGTGAACTAAAGGAGGAACAAAGTTCTTTCTATGAGCAGACGGAACCTTTTAAAAGTGACACAGCAGTCAGGTAATAAAGACAGTAAAATGTTTACTCGATTTATGAATGAATGTCTAAAAACTGTCCGTATGGATAGGAAACACACTTCTGGTTCTTTTCATTAGCTTTAAATATTTAATTTAAATATTTTAAAATTCATATATGAGCGAGAGTGAATGTGAACAGAAGACTCAAACTTCTGTTCACTACCGGGACCTAGAAACATGACAAAACGTAGCTTGTCATTAAACGTAGAAATGTTTTTCTTTTTAAATCGAATTTATTTTATTTGATAAGGTTAGACCAAATTGAAAACTGACGTTAAGCAGATAGACCGTCCTAAAAACCCTGAACCACAGTGCCGGGAGTACACAGCGTCATGTGAGTCAATAAAAGCATGCAATGGCCCCAATTTGCCGCAGGAGGGTGCTAATAGACAGCGTTCCAAGCACGAGATAGACAGTTGTTGTTGTTGCTGCTGTTGGCTGTTTTCTGTTGCTTTGACTTTGTTGCTGATGCCACTGTTGATTAAATGCTGCTCATGCTTTGCTTCTCCGTCAGTTGTTGCTCCTGCATCTGTTTCTGTTGCTGTTGGTTTTGTCCTTGTTGCCGTAGTTACTGCTGCTGTTGCTGTTATGGCTGCTGCTGTGGCTGAGTTTTCATTTGCACCTCTTGCTTCTGTTTCTGTTTGTGCTCCAGCTGCTTTGATGGTTTGACTGCCTGTCATGTCAGGTCTGTGTGAGGTTCCTGCTTGTCTGTCATAACTTATTAATTATTGTTGATTTATTGGTGATTCATGGTGCGCTGTGTGGTTCAGTCACAGATGATGTTGCTGCTCTTCATCAACCACTTGAATCCTTCATCTTCTCAGATGTCTGCTTCGTCTCCTTCATACAAACCCTGTTGTCCTTGTTGCCGTAGTTACTGCTGCTGTTGCTGTTATGGCTGCTGCTGTGGCTGAGTTTTCATTTGCACCTCTTGCTTCTGTTTAGCTAATTTTCTGGTTTCCTGTTATTTGATGAGAGCTGATGGTCCTGTGGATGTTTTTCTTCTCACCTTCTTTTCGTCTGGAGACGTCTCCATCCTCACTGCTCACAGAGGTTTAATAATTCACTGGATCTTCTCGGGTGTAAACATCAGGCCGGGGTCGTGTGAGGTGAGACCGTTTCTTCAGGGTGGGACAACGTGTTTCTCAACTTCAACTTTTCCAAAGAAAAGACTGTTTCCAGAAGCTGGAGAAGTCTGTGCCCCTCCTCACAGCCCCCTCAATAAACACCAGCCGTAAAAACACTGGAATGACTCAGATATGTAGTAAAACCTTACAAATACTGTAAGTTGTTGCAGTAAATCTGTAACACAGTACAGTGTACTCCTGTGGATACCAAGAAGAGGAGGCCACAGCTGGTCAGTACCAGTATTCAGCAGCAGACCCAGGGCCACACAGAGAGATGAACCAACAACCATTCACACTCCCATTCACACTCATTCACACCACACACCCACTATGGTGTGAACTGTGAATTTAATCCTGCATGTTTTTGGATTCAAGAGGAAACTGGAATAATCTGAAAAAAAAAACCCCATTATTTAGAGATAGGGATCAAACACCTGATCCTGCCACTGTAAGGCATGAGTACTTAACACCTCACCACTGTGTGGCCCAAGTATATTCACATCCTGCTTTAAATGTCTGTAATATCAACATTTCAGCCAGCATGGTCATGACAGAGCTAGTTAATCTGACCTTAATGAAAACCTTTTTTACCGTAAAACACAGTATAGATGGTGAAGCTGATTCTGAACAGGGTTGATACCTGCAGTTCTGGAAGCTCAGAAATCCAGATGAACAAACAGATCTAATTTATTTGCTCTCTCTCTCTCTCTCTCTCTCTCTCACACACACACACACACACCAAAATAAACTGATCATTTCTGCATTGAGAACAAACAAATCCTCCCACAGCGTGAGTTCACTGTTACTGGAAACAGGTTTGATGGTTTGACTCTGTCCTCAGCTGAACCCTGGAGGAAACCAGTGAAATTACAACACATTCATTCATTCACCTCTCAGCCAACACACACACACACACACACACACAGTGGCTGTCCTTACCTCACCTCTGCTGGACTCAGGTTTGACAGCAGAGTAAATCAGATTTGTGCTGTTTTTAATCCCATTCACTCACCTTCAGAACCACCGCAGACTGGGTGATGTCATCAGCTGTCCTGTCCAACCAGAGACACTTTGTTCCTGGTGTGTGTCTCCAGAACAGAGGCAGTAAAGTCAACTTTTTTATGCCCGTAAATGATTTGTTTGAGGGTTTGGGTTCAAATCCTCTTTCTGTAAGTCTTCCTGACTTTCCTACACGTCTGGAGGGTTGGGGGTTCAATTCCAGACCACCTAGTTTATCTGTTGCCCTCTGCCTGCCCCTGCCAATATTGCTCTCATTGGGTAGACAACGATTCTCCATTCCATACCAGGGTCGACTCTAGAACCAACACACACCACCACCGTTCACACCACCGTTCACACCTCGGGCTGGACGAGAGTGAACAGTTAATTACTAAGTAACTAATGCTGGATGTTTTTTGGACACAGACCATGAAGACCACAGACCAGGCCGACCACAGACCATGAAGACCACAGACCATGAAGACACCAGCTAACACCATTTCCTTGTTGTAAGGTACCATCACTTACCTCTCCTCCACCCTGTGGCCTTGAACAGTCATTGCAGTCATAAATGGAGGCGTTGTTTCATTTCTAACAAACTGGACTGAATCTGTCAGTAAAAGCCTGGAACGAAGGTTCTTATTGGTGGGTTGTTCACGTGTGTGCCAACGTGGAACACATTGGTTTGACATGAAAATCAGAAGTCAGTCTAAAAACATGGACGAATCTCATTTATTTCATTTTCAGAACTTTTTCTCTTTATTGGAAAATACCTGTAGGAGTGTAGTGACGTCACCGTGTGCAGATGCCTGCTGACCTCCTTCAGCTCACACAGGGTTAAAGTGAGCTCAGACAGAGGCAGGTGTCTCCTCAGAGAGGGAGAGGAAAAAAAACACCTCCTCCTCCTCCTCCTCCTCCTCCTCCTCCAGCGCGAGGAGCAGCTCCAGCTGTGATGGAGCTGCTCCTCTTTGCGCGCTCGCCGATAAATACCGCGTGACCGCTGCGCCACCAGCAGGACTCCATCATCTCTCTCCGCGGCAGCACACACACACACACACACCCCTTTGACTTCTAATTCCTCTTCTTCTTCGTCGGGTGTTCTGGTGTGGACTCCGGACATGTTCTGGACCTTCTGGATCTGGTTCCTCAGCTGCGCCTCGGTAAGGACGCAGCTGCTGGTCTGTGCCGTGACCCGGGGCTCCAACTCACACGCCGGCATGTGTCCGAATGACATGAATCCCAACCTGTGGGTGGATGCCATGAGCACGTGCACGCGGGAGTGTGAAAGTGACCAGGTAAAATATCTCTCTTTTTTATTTTTATTTTTTAAGAAAATCCAGAAATTTTAGACTTAATCCTAATTTAAAAACGTGGACGTTCGTCTGAGCGGGTCGTCTCTCTCAAAGGGACAGCGTCATATTTAGGACTTTAAAAAAGTTCGCGTTCGAGGTGCGCAACGATTCAAAGTTTAAATTAAAATTGAGAATGAATAATTAATTAGGTTATTTGTGCATTTGTGTTCATTTTGAAGCTGTGTGAGCAACACGCAGTAACAGTTAGGATAGTTTTGTAAATCTCAGCTTTTGCAGTTAACAAATGAATGTCATCAAATGAATATAAAACCAAAGGTATTCACCAGAGTCCAGCACTTTGACATGTTCAGTTTTTAAATTACCTCTTATAATTATCTGTATGTGTTAAGTATATTATTATATTTATACACTTTCTCACCTAGTTTTTCATGGTTAGTTTTTGTATGTGGCACTTTGGCCCGGAGGCAATGTCTCTGTCATTGGTGTGGAACCCCAGGGTTCACCTCCTGGGCAAGTTCGAATCTCGGTTAGGGCGGTTAATACCTTCCAGTGGACTCACCACCTCCAGGAAGGTTTGGGGGGTTGGTATGGTGCAGTGTGGTTTAGGTGGTGGTCATAGAGACTGCTGCTCCCGCGACCCGATAACGGATAAGCGGATGAAAATGGTTGGTAGGTAGTTTTTGTATTTTCCACCATTAAACCTGATTCCAACCCTTTTATTATGTTTACAGTTTTTACCTAATCTCCCAGCATTCTTCACTTCATCTCTCTCTCTTTCCTCCTCCAGGAGTGCGAGACCTTTGAAAAGTGCTGTCTGAACGTGTGTGGGACTCGCAGCTGTGTCGCCGCCCGTTACCTGGAAGGTAACAAAGGCCCCGTGGAAATGCCCAAAGAAGCCACCTGTGCCACTTTCATGTGCAACCAGCAGGGGTCAGAGTGCGACATCTGGGACGGCCAGCCTGTCTGTAAGTGCCGGGACAGATGTGAGCGTGAACCTCACTTCACCTGCGCCTCCGACGGCATGACCTACTACAACAAGTGCTACATGGACGCGGAGGCGTGCTCCAAGGGCATCACGCTGACCGTGACCGCCTGCAAGGTCCAGCTCACCTGGCCCAACACCAGCCCCTCGTTGCCTCAGGCCACCACTCTCCATCCAACCACGACACCCACCACAGAAACGCCTCAGGCGCCCGTTCTGATCAGCAGTCCTGTTCACCAGATCGTAAACGTGGGCGACACGGCCAGTTTCCTGTGTGACGTGATCAGCAGCCCGCGGCCTGAGATCACATGGGAAAGGAAGCTGCCGGTGGGCGCGGAGAGGGTCGTCATGAGGCCCAATCATGTGCTCGCAAACCTGGTGGTCACCAACATCGGTCAGCTGGTCATATACAACGCCCAGCCTGGTGATTCGGGGGTCTTCACCTGCGTGGCCCAGAACTCCCTGGGCTCAGTGAAGGCGGACCACCCTCTCACTGTCCTGCCCACAGAGCCACCTAAGGCCCCGGAGCCAAAGAACGTGACCCGCTGCCTGGCAGCGGAGTGTGGCAAACCCCCCGACCAGTCAGAGGACTGTGGGGGGGAGCTGGAGAGCGTCAGCTGGTACTTTGAAACCATGACCAACAACTGCGTCTCCTTCAGCCACTGCAGCAACAACCAGAGCAGCAGCCAGCTCCACCTGAAGACCTTCGAGACCTTTGAGGAGTGCATGCAGTGTTGTGGACCCGAACTCTCAGGACCCTGCGGGCTCCCCAGCCTGCAGGGACCCTGTAAAGCCTACGAGCCTCGCTGGGCGTACAGCAGCTCCATCCGCCAGTGTCAGTCCTTCATCTACGGAGGGTGCGAGGGCAACGACAACAACTTTGCGTCCAAGGAGGCCTGTGAGGAGACGTGCCCCTACCCCAAAACCCACCACTGCAAGTCCTGCAAACCCAAGAGCAAAATGGTGACCAGCTTCTGCCGCAGTGACTTTGTGGTCCTGGGTCAGATGTCAGACCTGACAGAGGAAAAGGACTCGGGCCACGCCCTCGTCACCGTGGAGGAGATCCTGAAGGACGAGGAAATGGGGCTGCGTTTCTTGGGCAAGGAGCCTCTGCAGGTCACCTTCATAAACATGGACTGGAAGTGTCCGTGTCCCAACATCACGGGTGCCGCTGCAGAGGGTCAGGTCATCATCATGGGTAATGTCAACGATGGCATGGCTGTCCTTCACCCGGAGAGCTACGTGGGCGCCGCCAGTCCTCGCCGCGTACGGAAGCTGAAGGAGGTCATCTCCAAAAACACGTGTGACATTCTCAGAGCCATCACAAACAGTCCCCAGTAGGCGGAGCCTCTCACCTGCACGTGACTTTTGAAAGACATGGCCGCTGTTGCAGCCGTTGACCTCTGACCTTTGACTACAGGAGTGTTTCCTGTTTTGATGTAAAGGGTTTTGTGAAGTCAGTTCTGATAGATGCCCTTGAGTTTGAGAGACCAGGTCTGGAAACATGGCTGCCAGTGAGGACACAGTCAATGTAAAAATATCTACACTCTATAGATCGTAGCACATCATAGAACTGTTTTTTTCATGAGGAAAGTTCCTCCTCTTAAGGTGGGCTGGTTCCTCCAGGGGTCTCCACCCTGGATCATCTGCCTCCATCTCAGCCCAATCATTGACCCAGTCCTGTTTCTACAATTGAAACAGATCCAGACCATCTCAGGTCCACCCCGGACCTTTATGATAATCTGACCTTTATCTTCGTCATCATCATCATCCTCATCATCTGTAAAGATCTCTAAACTTTCGCCCTCTGCAGAAACACTCCCACATGGAAACTCTCCTGCGTCAAAGTCCAATCACAGAGTGTGCTCCATGAGGGTTAGTTCTAATGGAGCACCGTTAGAAACTGTTCTCATTACTGCCATCTACAGTATGTGCCCGTAAAATAAATCAGAACAAAAAAGTAACGATTAGGAGAAAATATTGATAAACTTTGCTCTTATTTCTTGTCCAGTGATTCCAAATGTAGATCCCTCTGTTCCAGTGTTAGTGACCTGATGTTCAGATGGAACAGCACTGTGTCCACTATGTTAACAGTTTTACTGCAACACATTTAACATTGGTTAAAAAAACCCTCAATATATCATTGTGTATATCGTATTGTTGCCCCTGCGTCGAGATACGTATCGTATCGCCTGTTTCTTGGCAATACGCACCGCTAGTAACGTCATTAACGAAGGCGACAGGTGACCCCAGCAGGGGGACATTGATGTCCAGGTCTCCCGTCATGGATTGGGGATCTTGAGGAGACCTGTGTGGTCTGGTCTCCTCTGGTACTGTTGATGTGGTCATCACTGCTGCTGATTGAAATTCCATGTCTGTGAGCACAGGAGACATCCATCATGATCCTCTTGTTATCACCATTCCCAGCAGACACCCCCCTTCAGCCCCCCCTCCCCACACAGGCATAAGAGATGGAGGTTGCAGACTCTCTGGTTGTTGTTCTTCCTTTAATTTGTTTCGTTTTCTCAGCAGCTTCTGTGAGAAAGTTCAAAGTTTGTAATGTATTTTATATTCGCCGCTCTTCATTTATTGTTTTTTCTATTTTGTTTTAAAAAAAAAGCTATTTATTATCACGGAGGCTTTTGTATTTTGTACACCTCATTGCTTTTTGACAGTTGTTAAATAAAGATTTATGATTTTTATTTCAGGCTGAAGTTCTTCTTTAAAACAGTGTCAAGTCTACACTGTAGTAAAGACACATGCTGACCTTTGACCTCAACACTAAGGTATTTGGTCACTTGTCCAAATTTCCACTTCAAATATCTAACAAAGTAGTCAACATGTAGTATTCATAACGTTGCTCCAGAAATGATGTGAAATAATGAACGTTTTTGTTCCGTCTCTAATAATGTTATAAAGATAAAAAAGTGAATTGGTCTTATATATCAGAACGAAAATACTGATATGAAGCACTAAAGAAACCAGAACAAAAGCACTCTTCAAGATTCAGAAAACTTTGGAAAACGTACACTTAAAAAAAAAAAAGAAACCTCCTTTGAACTCCTTCATCAAACACTGGACTGATGTGTCGTTGTTGACACAAACGTGTCTCTGTATCTGTGTGTGTGAGGACACACACACAGACACAGATCACGTCTGTGTCTTCAGTGGATCCCTGTCCCTGTGTTTCCTGTGATAAAAGAGACTCGGGAATTGAACCTCCCCAGCCCTCCTCCCCCTTCAGCCCCTGTGGTGTAGTAAAAACTTCCCCCTGTGTTGTTCTGCCCGCCGTCATCCCGTCTAATTGGACAGAGAGCCGGAGCCGGAGCCAGATCCAAACTCCCATGTGAGGGTTCTGTGTTTCATCCCGTGCCAGTGTTGATCTCTGGGTTAGCAGGCCTTGGTGGGCTACGACCAGGGTGTTCCACATTCTGTTTCTTCCATTCTGAAATGTGACTGCAGGGCAGGCGGGGGGACAGGTGGGGGGACAGGAGGTCAGCCCATGTACGGCGCTCCTTTACTGACAAACCACCAGGGAGCTGAGAGCTGCACTATAGCAGCTGTTGGACCCTGGAGCAGAACCAGAGTAGAACTGCAGCACTTTGGACCAGAGGAGGGGGGGAAATCAAACACAGGTCAGGTCAGCAGGACCAAGACTGAGACTGTGGATTAATATGAGACCTCACAAGGCATTTAGAGATTAGATTAGATTAGATTAGATTAGATTAGATTAGATTAGATTAGATTAGATTAGAATAGATTTGATTAGAATAGATTTGATTAGATTAGAAGATTACATTAGATTAGATTGTTTTAGATTAGATTATATATATTAGATTGGATTAGATTGGAATAGATTAGATGATAAAATTAGACTTGCACTACATGTCAGTACAGCTGACATAAATATAAGGCAGTAATTGCATCATCTTTTTTCTTTTTCTTTGTACAGCGTTTTAGTTTCCCATATGGTTGTCATCGTCATTATTTGGATTATGTTTAATAATCCTACTTAAGGTTGGTTTAACTGCCGCCATGTAGTTATGAATGACAACCGTGGGCCTATTTTATGAAGACACATGTCAGCTAAACATTTGGCCCAGCATCTGAAGCTGTGCTGCTCACAGTCCTGGTTCTGAACCAACCTGGTGTTTTATTGAATCTGGATGTCAGCAGGGAGAGACAAAGACGCTCAGATGTCCCTGTTTCAGGTTTTTCATCTTCAGTTTGCTGTAGTTTGGAAAACTTTTAGAGTTCAGCCAAAAGGTTAGGCAGCACTGTATTAAAACATCATGAAGTGACAGACTGATTCTGGTGGAGAAATATTTTACTCTCTGATGCTGTGAGGACTGACATAGGTTTGACCCACAGGTCAGCTGTGGGAACTCCTGAATAAGTGACTTTTTATATTTCTCTGATCATTCATCAAAGAAACACCTTTCAACATCACAACATGTCGTATGGACTGGTTCATGTCTACAGAGGCAGCATTTACTGTAAACCAATATACAGCACAGTCAGGACATCAAAAACATTTCAAGGACTTTTTTATTAAAAATTCATGCAGGTCTGAACAAAGGCGTTCAGTTGTGCTTTGAAATGCTGAGCTGTTTTTTTTTTTCTCCTCTTCCTTCTCTCCTTCCTCTCATGGTTTGTTGATAGGACAGGGTCAACGCGTTCATGAGCTCAGTTCACCCAAGGCGGAAAAGTCGGTGTGGTCCTGACCAGGCTCTGATGTAGACCTGCATCAGGTAGAAAAGACAGCGCAGGTGGTGGAGCCAAGAAGATCAGAGACGGTTGGACTCTGGACGTATTTGTGTGCGGTGCCTCCAACGTCTGTGGAAGCCATCAAGCAGCTGGGTGGTTTAGGACCTTTGATTCATGACCTGCATCTGTTATGGTCATATGATTTCTGAGTGTCTATTGAAGGGATACAGTAGCCGCTCACACGCCTCGTGACCGCAGACCGACAGGATCCTCCAGCCGTATATCATCAAAGACCTGCAGCCGTTCAAAGGCTTCAAACTGGTCGGTGGGGCTCAGAGTCCTGGAGGTTGACTATTCAAATCATCTGGTCTGCAGGGANCACCACCACCACCACCACCACCACCCATCACCATCCAAGCCTTCTTTTCAACAGAAAGATTTTCAGCCTAACTCTGATGCTGTTAATCTGAAAAGTTCATCAGTGTGTGTGATCACTTTATTTTCCTTTTCAGACCACTCTTCAGATGAAAAACACAAGTTTGTAAACTGCACCAAAGTCCACGTAGAACATTTCCTCAAATTTTACAACAGGACCCGTCACCTTCGAAATCTATATCACAAAGTTAAATTTTTTAAAAGTCAGTGTTTGTCATCCATCATCTGGATTCATCTGTTTTTGTTTTTGTCATATATCGGCCATTTTCATGAGGCTCCAGTTTTTCCTGACATGCTTTGAATCCCTTACAGGCCAAACATTAGATTTGCTCCTTATTTTCAGGCGCAAAGTGATGTTGGGACATTTTATGAACCACAGCATCCTCTGGTGTTAACTTCCCCCCAGATTAAATTTACACATTTTTAAAGATCTGTTTTAAAAGGAAACTTCTAAGTAATTTCATCCTGGGTTATAAGGTCACTCTAAAGAAAAAAGGACGGACAAAAATACATAACAACACACTACACCATAGTGTATGAGATGAGAGATATCACACACTCCACCCCATTCACAGTGTATCGTTCATTTTATTGTATTAACAATATTGTTCTGGTCGAACGTAATGTTTAAGCAAATATTTAAGAGCTTTTGTTTTTACATTTTATGGTACGGGAGGAACATTTGTTTTCGTCCTCGGGGGAACTGGCAACAGCGCACACACTTCCGCCGGCGTGTGTCAATTGGATTTTGGTTGGAAACGGGAGCAACTGTGACGTAGTTTCTTCTCTTTTTTTCCGTACCATAAATATGAGTCAACGCCAAAACTAACTCTACGTATGTGAAAAGTTTCATTACAATAAACTTGGTGTGTATATAAAGTTTACGACTTAATTTTTAAAAAAGTGTTTAAATGTTTTTTAATGTACGGTCAAGGGCCATTTTGTGTCAACGGTTTTCTACAATTCTCTGTTTTTAAACAGGTAACTTTAGAGGAGACGGTGTGTCATGTCTCTTTATAGTAGGTGAATTCTAATTTCACTGTTGCCGAATGTGAACGATTTAACATTGTAATGATTACGTTTGGAGTTACTGCTCGTTTCGACAATTATATCACCTGTGTAATTGTTTGACTTTGTTGTTCAGAGTGATCGTTCGAATATCTTCATATAAACCTAACGAATAGGACAACAACAACAGGAGCTAAAATGAGGGGTTTTGTGAATGGACTTTGGTTCAAGAGGAGAAGTTTAGAAATAGTTTCTGTTAAAAATACGTTTAATCACTGCTGATGAAAACAAATGATTAAATGCGGTTTTTAGTAGCTGAGAATAAGCGTTTTCTGGAAAAAAAAACATTTATTGTAAAAACTGTCTGTATTTTGATAGCCACTCACTGACATGTCCATAAAATATATGCAAATGAATTTTAAGGTCTTGAGGTCTCTTCTAATTGTTCGCCAGGTGTCGCTGCGGGTCCTCATCGAAATCCCTGGTTTGTCCTGTGTCCTGAAAGTAAAAGTAGCCTTGATGCTGTTGGAAATCCACCACACAAAGACGAGGCGCAGTGTGAACTGTGAGTAAAACCTCTGCTTCTTCTTCTGGTTTTGTTGACTTGTTGTCATTGCTGGGTCTTTTTTTTGTCGCACAGCAGACTGTAAAGTATAAACTTGTTGTTTTGTCCTGTTTTATTAGAAAGGAAAATACTTTCTGGATTTTTTTCTCAGACCTTGACAAATAAAATGCATTTTCTCAGGTTTCTGATGGACCTGATCTCACTTTATTCTGACCAGTTATCACACTGTAAAACAAAGGAAGTGAAGATGTAGTAACATCAATTCTGCTACTTGCATTCACAGTAGCTTCTAATATAGTGCCGTTATACTGTTTACAACCGTAGTTCCTGGTTCCATGTACCGATTCTCATTTGAATGTACAGTACCTTGTGACTCTGTACTTCATCAGAGGTCTAGCTGGAGTCTGAAGCCCTATTGATGTGAATATGAGCTCAGCTCTGGTTCAAATAGCTGCACGTATCCATATCATCCACTAGATGGCACCACGCGGTCACTTATATTTACCACTTTCGTTGCCTTTGCTGGAGATGCACAGGTCGGTGTTTAAAAACATCCCAATCATGTGCTGCCGGTTGATGTCTTTCTTCTGGGGTCAGAGGTCACTGATGAGTTCTGCAGAACCTCATGGACCAATACAGGACCGTTGTTGTTTTGGAGCTGTGGTAGAGACTTGTGTGCTGAAAGGAGGGGGTATTCTAGGAGCCGGTATTCTAGGAGGTGGTTAAGAGATGGCTGTCTGTTTTAGGAGACCAGTAAAAATTATTTTCATGGGGCCCAAAGTCCCTAGCAGCGCCCCTGGTGGAGACACTGATGTGGCCTAAAGGCCCACATAATTGACTAACTAATGAAGCCACTGCAGGCTCCATTCAGCTCTGTGACTTCACAGTCACGGACCCTGTGGTCACTTCCGCTCCACTGCCTCCTCCATCCTTATGTAATCAGGACAACACACACACACACAGACGCACACTCACGCAATGCAAACTCAGCAACTTTCTCTGCCGGCAGCCAGTGAGCGTGGTGGAACAGGAGGGCAGGAGAAATGAATGGGCTTTTATTTTTATTTCTG